AACACACATATTTCATTTCACATAAGATTCCAATACAATCCACCTAGTATTCAATCATTCTACACCACAATCTACCCATTCACACTTCTACCGTGCCATTCCACACAAAACATACAACATACCAGAGGTCGGGCACCTCCAGACTCAGCCCAGTGCATTCAAACCATCAAAACATACATTTTTTATGAATCCATATTTTTACTGATATTTTAGCATAATTCTAGCTCATTTAATAAGAAAAATATATGAAGAAAGCAGAAAAACTCAGAAAAAGAGAATGATTGAAAGTTTTATTTCAATTTGTAGTTATTTTCGCATTTGTAGAATTTATGCTTAGTTCTTAAGGAATTTATCTTGTTTTCAAGGAATAAGCTGAGCAAAAGTCATGGAAAGGGAGAATCAATGGGAAGGAAGGGGAAGAATGGCAATGTTGGACTCCAAAATACAAGAATTATGGGTTGCAGCCTGGGCGTGATCACTATTGTTAGTGAAAGTGATCATTCCAGAGCCTAAAGGAGAAGAGGAGCCTGTGCGTAATCACTTTTATTTACAAGAGTGAGCATTGCCAGTGTGCGTTATCACTTTCGCCAACGAAAGTGAACGTTCCAGAGAGACTTCATTCCTGATGAGCTGCGCGTTGTCACTTTTGCCAACGAAAGTGAGCGTTCCAGAGGCACTTGTATCAAGACAGCTTGCGCGTGGTTACTATTACTCACGAAAGTGATCACGCGCAGCCCTTGACCTCCTGCGTTGCCACTATTATGAACAAAAGTGAATGTTCCAGAGAAGCCTTCAACTCTGCAAGTTGCGCGTGGTTACTCTTGCTCTTGAAAGTGAACACGCGCACTACATAAAGCTTCTGCGTGGTTACTCTTGTGAAGAAAAGTGACAACGCGCAGAACTGGGTTTCTATAAATACATGATTGAAGCGCGAAACTGGGATCTTTTTGCTCATTTTCTGTTTTGTTAGTTAGAGTCTCGTTGAGAGAGAGTGGAGAGAAGATTGGGGTCGAAGCTTGAAGCTCCAAGAAGAGGGATCGGATTGGAGCTCGTGGCCATGGCTGCTCTGCATTCTTCTTCATCTTCTTCTTCTTCTTTCTGTATTTTTGTTGCAATGTGTGCTTAATTTCCCATAGTTAGGGGTTTATGGAACTCGAATTGATGTATTGACTCGACTTTATCTTCTGAACTTTAAGTTCTTGGATTAATTGAGTTGTTAATTCTGCTTTTCATGCAATCTCTGAATGGAAATTCATTTGATTAATCAAGAGGAATCTTTACCAATGGGAATTGGATTGTTTGCTTCGATCTGAATTGGCAACCAGAGTTTAGGGATTTCTTAGGGATAAGAAGACCTGATTCTGCAATCTTATAGTTCTAATTCTTAATGCAACCTGAAATTGAATCTCACCTAAGGGAATAGGGAGGTTTAGTGGATTGTTAGGGTCAATGAGTTAAGGAATTAACCTTTGGCTAGATATATGTGAAACTGATTGTCAATTATTCAATTGCTTGAATGTTCAGAGGATTTAATTGGATTGATATTGATATTCTTGTGAAGTAAATTCCTAACTATCCTTCATTGCTATTTCATTTCATCACAAATCTTATACTCTGTTTCTCTGCAAGTTCTTTGCTTTAATTGCTTTGGTTTATTGCTGTTATATGTTACAAATCTCCTTCAAAAATTCGTATGGCTCAAATGGTTATAATTTTGTGAAGTGGTACTTGAAACCTAAATTCCCTGTGGAGACGATATTCTGATCTTAAATTTACTCATCACTTGCTGCAATCCTAGTGCACTTGCTAGTGTTAGATTGCAAACAACAAGTTTTTGGCGCCGTTGCCGGGGAAATTAGAGTTTCAATATCATTAGTAACATAAGAATAGCTAGATTGAGTATTTTGTTCTCTGAATTTCTGTAGTAGTAGTCTGTAGTTAGACATTTTGTCCATTCTGCATAATTCTGCAACTTTTAAACTTGTGTTTCAATTACTTTTACTGATAATTACTGCATAATTTTCGTGGTGCAGTTCTGAATACTAACTTGTAGTTTACTTTTGCTTCATTTTGAATTGTATATGCGTGGCAAAAACAAAAACAAATCAACTCTAGTCTTTGATCCTGACATAGACATAACCTTAAGAAGATTGAGAAAAGAGTCTAGAGCAGAAAAAGCCATAGGGAGTGATAGTGAGTTAGAAGCTGTCCATTCTCCAGAATCTCAGAGTAATCCTAGAGTGAAAAGAACACCTACATCTTTGAGACAACTAAATTCAGAAATAGAGATGGCAAAACAGAACAGATTTAGAACATTAGGGGACTATGCTATTCCTAACATACAAGGTTTTAACTCTTCTATAATCAGGCCAACTATTCAAGCCAACCATTTTGAGATTAAACCTGCTTTATTACACTTAGTCCAACAAGATCAGTTTTCTGGTGGAAATTCTGATGATCCTAACTTACATATTTCAAATTTTCTACAGCTATGTGACACTATAAGAATAAATGGGGTTAGTGAAGAAGCCATCAGACTGAGACTATTTCCTTTTTCCTTGAGAGATAGAGCAAAATGCTGGTTACAAGCTCAACCACAAGGAAGCATCACAACCTGGACAGAACTTGTGAATAAGTTTTTAACCAAGTACTTCCCTCCATCCAAAGCTGCTAAGTTGAGAGGAGAAATTACATCCTTTGTGCAGCAAGAAGGAGAATCATTGTATGAAGCATGGGAAAGATACAAAGAACTGCTTAGAAGGTGTCCACATCATTGTATTCCAGATTGGATGCAATTAGAGACTTTTTATAATGGGATGAATGCAGTAACAAGAACAATGGTTGATGCTGCTGCTGGAGGTTCATTAAATACAAAGTCCTTGGAAGAAGCTCAAAGGATTATTGACATGATGGCATCTTCAATGTATCAGAATTCAAACTCAAGGAATCAAGGAAGAAACTCTAGTCATGAAGCTAAAGTTCTGGAAACTTTTCTTGCACAAAATCAGCTACAAAATCAAATGTTTTCAGAACAAATAGCTACCTTAACACAACAAATCAACAATCTGCAAACAGGGAGTATGCCTGCCAGTCAGCTAAGTTGTGATTTTTGTGGAGGAAACCATGCAAATGGTGCATGTGAGGCATCCACAAGTGAACCACAAGAACAAGTGAATTATATGAATAATTTTCAAAGACAACAGCCATCATATCCCCCTGGATTTCAATTTTTGAATAATAGAACTCAGCAGTATTCTAATTGGAATAATCAATATTCTGCTGCAAAGAATTCTAATTCAAATTTGCCTTTTTCTAATGCAGGTCCAGCAACACAACAGCCTTATTTTCAGAGGAATTCATCCACTCAACCTCAAGGAAATCAAAAATTTTCCAGACCTATGAATGAGAGGTTGACTGAGATGGAAGAGACTATGCTGCAATTCATGAAGGTGACTCAAACAAGCTTCAAAAACCAGGAAGCTTCCATGAAGAAACTAGAGACACAGATTGGACAATTAGCTGAACAATTATCCAGCAGGGATGAAGGAAGATTTCCAAGTAATACAGTAATCAATCCTAAAGAGCAATGTCAAGCCATAACTACAAGGAGTGGAGCTGTAGTTGCAAGCCCTAAACCAGCAGAAAAGAAAGTGAATGATGTAGTAGAAAGAAATATTGAACAAGATCTGCAACAAAGAAATTTTAAGCTATTGAAGAAAGACCATTCAGAAGAAAAAGAAAAAGTTCATATGAATTCTGAAAGGAAAACCAAAAAGCAACTCTTTGAGGAAGCTTGTAAGCCAATAGACCCAGAAAAATACAAGAGGCTACCCTATCCTCAAAGAGTCCAAAATCCTAAACAAGAGGAACAATTTGAAAGGTTTATGAATGTCTTTAAGAAATTACAAATTAACATTCCTTTTGCAGAAGCTTTGGAGCAAATGCCTTCATATGCAAAGTTCATGAAAGAACTACTTTTCGGAAAAAGGAAGCTAGAGCATGACAAAACAGTACCTTTGACAGAGGAGTGCAGTGTCATTCTCAAGAGAAAGCTTCCTCAAAAGTTGAAAGATCCTAGATCATTTAGCATTCCTTGTGAAATAGGAAACTGCACTGTGGGAAGAGCATTGTGTGACTTGAGAGCAAGCATAAATCTGATGCCATTAGCTGTTCTGCAGAAACTTGGAATAGAGGAAGTGAAGCCTACCAACATTACACTGCAGCTAGCTGATAGATCATACACTTATCCATATGGAGTTGTTGAAGATTTATTAGTTAAAGTTGATAAGTTCATTTTTCCTGCAGATTTTGTAATTCTGGACATGGAGGTGGATTCTAACATTCCTTTGATCCTAGGGAGGCCATTTCTTGCAACCGGGAGAGCTTTAATAGACGTGCAAAAAGGTGAACTTATGCTTCGAGTTCAAGATGAGAAGGTAATATTTAATGTGTTTGAAGCTTTAAAATATCCAGTTGAAGATAATACATGTATAAAGATAGATATACTGGATACTTTCATTACACAACACCATATGAAAGATTTTGATGAAACTGCTATGTTAGAAGAGATAATATCTGCAGGGAATGACAAATCTGAAACTCTGAATGAAGAAGATATCATGGAAGTGCAGCAGCAACTAGAAGCTCTGCCAATTCAAAAACTTGCAGAAAATATAGTGAAAGAAGAGCAGAAAAAGGATGCTAAAGAAGAAGAAAAGCAAAGGCTAGAACTGAAACAACTCCCTTCACACTTGCGGTATGCATTTCTGGATGAGAATCATGAAAATCCAGTCATCATCAATAATGAACTTAAGGAAGAACAAGAGGAAAAATTGCTCAGAATTTTGAGAGAACACAAATCTGCAATTGGCTGGAGTATTGCAGACCTGAAAGGTATAAATCCTTCATTTTGTAAGCACAGAATTTTATTTGAAGAGAATTTCAAACCTGTTGTGCAGTCACAAAGGAGGTTAAACCCAGCCATGAAAGAGGTAGTTAAAAAAGAGGTCATAAAGCTGTTAGATGCAGGAATAATATACCCAATTTCTGACAGCAATTGGGTAAGTCCAGTCCAAGTTGTTCCAAAGAAAGGTGGTATGACAGTGGTACCTAATGAAAAGAATGAACTTGTCCCTACTAGGACTGTGACTGGATGGAGAATGTGCATAGACTATAGAAAATTATATGATGCAACTAGAAAAGACCATTTTCCACTACCATTTGCAGATCAAATGTTAGAAAGACTTGCTGGACATTCATTTTATTGTTTTCTTGATGGGTATTCAGGATATAATCAAATAGCTGTAGATCCTTTAGATCAAGAGAAAACTGCATTTACATGTCCATTTGGAGTCTTTGCATATAGGAGAATGCCATTTGGTTTGTGTAATGCCCCTGCCACTTTCCAAAGATGCATGCTTTCTATTTTTTCTAATATGGTAGAAAACATCATAGAAGTGTTCATGGACGATTTCTTTGTTTTTGGTGATTCTTTTGATGATTGTTTAGCTAATCTATCCACTGTTTTGCAGAGATGTCAAGATACTAACCTTGTGTTAAATTGGGAGAAGTGCCATTTCATGGTACAAGAAGGCATTGTCCTTGGTCATAAAATTTCAGAGAAAGGAATGGAGGTGGACCAAGCTAAAATAGAAGTCATTAGTAAATTGCCTCCACCTGTCAATGTTAAGGGAGTTAGAAGTTTTTTAGGACATGCTGGTTTTTATAGAAGATTCATAAAAGATTTTTCCAAGATTGCTAAACCCTTGAGTAATTTACTTGTAAAAGATGCAGATTTCATATTTGATGATAATTGTTTGCATGCATTTTTTGTTTTAAAAAAGAAACTGATTTCTGCACCTATTCTTGCAAAACCAGATTGGAAATTACCTTTTGAACTCATGTGTGATGCAAGTGATAGTGCAGTGGGTGCTGTTTTAAGACAGAGAAAAGATAGGAAATTACATGCTATCTATTATTCAAGCAAAGTGTTAAATCCTACACAAGTGAATTACACAACAACAGAAAAAGAACTTTTAGCTGTTGTACATGCTTTTGATAAGTTCAGATCATATTTAATAGGTTCAAAAGTGATTGTATACACTGATCATGCTGCTCTTAAATATCTTTTGACAAAACAGGATGCAAAGCCCAGATTATTAAGATGGATTCTACACCTCCAAGAATTTGAGCTAGAGATCAAAGACAAGAAAGGAAAAGAAAACAGTGTTGCTGACCACCTATCCAGATTACCCTTGGAGAGTTCAACCACTGAATCATTGGAAATAAATGAAGAATTTCCAGATGAAAAGCTGTTCGCAGTGGATAACATACCTTGGTTTGCTGACATTGCAAATTTTAAAGCCACTCAATTCATACCAAAGAGGTTTACTTGGCAGCAAAAGAAGAAGTTCCTACATGACAGCAAATTCTATGTGTGGGAAGACTCATACTTGTTCAAAATTGGAGTAGATGGGTTACTTAGAAGATGCATTCCACAAAGTGAGTAAGCTGAGATATTATGGCATTGTCATAATTCAGAATATGGAGGCCATCATGCAAGTTCAAGAACTGCTGCAAAAGTGTTGCAAGCAGGTTTCTTTTGGCCTACACTCTTCAAAGATGCCAAAAGGTATGTAGAAAACTGTGACAAATGTCAAAGAACTGGAAATATCTCAAGAAGACATGAGCTGCCATTAACCAACATCTTAGAAGTGGAATTGTTTGATGTATGGGGGATTGATTTCATGGGACCATTTCCCCCATCATTTTCACACGAATACATTCTAGTGGCAGTGGATTATGTGTCTAAATGGGTAGAAGCAATTCCCACCAGATCAAATGATGCAAAGGTAGTGATTTCTTTTATAAGAAAGAACATTTTTTCAAGATTTGGTGTGCCTAGAGTGCTAATAAGTGATGGAGGTACTCACTTCTGCAACAAGTATCTTGAAGCTGTATTAATGAAATATGGTGTGAAGCATAAGGTTGCTACTCCTTACCATCCACAAACAAGTGGACAAGTGGAGGTTTCAAATAGAGAAATCAAGCAAATTCTGGAGAAGGTAGTGAACAGCTCAAGGAAGGATTGGTCAAAGAGGCTGGATGATTCATTGTGGGCATACAGAACTGCTTTTAAAACTCCAATTGGTATGTCTCCATATCAGTTAGTATTTGGAAAGGCCTGTCACCTACCCCTAGAGTTGGAACATAGAGCATATTGGACTACAAAATGGCTTAATTTTGATCTGTCAAATGCTGGAAGGAAGAGAGTTCTGCAGCTGCATGAATTGGAGGAATTCAGACAGCAAGCATATGAGAATGCAAAGTTGTACAAAGAAAGAACCAAGAGAATCCATGACAAGTTCATTCTGCCAAAAGATTTCAGAACTGGCCAACAAGTGCTGTTATTCAATTCAAGGTTAAAATTGTTCCCAAGGAAATTGAAATCTAGATGGTCTGGACCATTTTTAATAAAGGAAACCTCTCCCTTTGGAGCAATTCTTATAGAAGATAAGAAAACAGGGAGGGAATTCAAGGTCAATGGCCAAAGACTGAAGATCTATCATGGAGAAGAGTTTGCAAGAAACATATCATGCTTGAAATTGGTTCCTCTTGAGTGAGGAACAACTAATGTCAAGCTAGTGACATTAAAGAAGCGCTTTGTGAGAGGCAACTCACATTTCTAACCTAGTTTAAGCTTTCTATAGTGTTTTTAGAATTTTGCATATTATTGTTTTGTAAATTTCTGATATGCTGCAAAAATTCTACACAAATATTGCTGAATCTGAGTTTCTGAGGTGCATTTGTTTGTTTAATCTGAGAATTGATGAGGTGAATGTGTAGTTAAGAGTTTAAGATTCTGCATAATCTGATTTTACCAATTTCTGGAAGTTTCTGCATAATGTATGTGAATAGTCCACTGAATCTGATTTTCTGAGGCATAATTGAGATACTTGAACTGAGATTCAATGAGAAGAGTGTGTATTTGATGGATTCAAGAGTGAAAATTTAATTAATTGAGGTTTTAGAGGTAATTGATTAATGAGAGGAGTCACTTTATTTCAGAAAAGAAGCTACGCAGAGAAGGCAATTTGAGGTTTTCTGCTGGAACAATCACTTTTGCTGATAAAAGCGATCACGCAGAGACAGATGGGAAAATGAACTCTCTGGAACGCTTCCTTTTTCTGTCAAGAGTGACTACGCACAGGTAAGTAAACTTCTAATATCTTTGCGTTAGTACTTTTATTGAAAAAAGTTATCACTTTGCTGCGCGTTATCACTTTGCTCAGCAATAGTGATAACGCGCGCCTCACCCTGAAAAATTAACTCTTTGGAACATTCACTCTTACGAATAATAGTGATCACGCTGGGAATTTTTATAGCATAAAAGTCACTTTTATTCTCCAAAGTAGTCACGTGCTTGGGCGTGCCTATAAATATTGCTAAGGGTGAATACGCACATACGTTTTTAAATCAAAAAATCCCTTCCCTCTCTGAGAGCTCCCCACTTATCAACCTCTGCATTGCGATTCAGAAGCTTCTTCTTCCTTGTTTGAATATCATTTCTGCATCTCAACCAAGGTACACTTCCCTCACTTCTAAAATCTGTGATTGGGGTTTCTGTATTTGTATAACTATTTTGGGGAAGTTGCTAAAAAGGGATAACTAAGAATGCTCGAGGCAAACAAATCAATTTAGGGATAGAAAATACTGAGATTAGGTTTTGCTGTAATGAGAGTTCTCTGAAAAAAATTAAATTCTGCATTGCACTTTTCACATTAACAAATTTCTGCAGAAATTGATTTGACCTAAAAGACTTTAATAACAATGTTCTGATTGAAAGATATTGAATTTGAAAGTCTGAAATTATCTATTGTACTGTGTTCTGCATGTACTGTTTTGAAAAATGTCGAGATGAGTGTTGGGAAACTATTTTGATAGTATTTGCTTCAAGAATGGACAATACTTTGGATCGATCTTTCCTTGTCAACTATGACATTTCTGCTGGGATAATTGAAATTACATTGCATATTATATGAACCACATTTCTACAGAATCTGAACTGATAGCAATAGAACTTTCTGAAACTGTAGAATTGAAAATTATAATACATAGCTGTGTTGAAATTGAGTTAGACATTAAATTGGGATTATCTGAAATGTATACTTGATTGCAAAATGAATACAACTTGGGAATTTTGGTCAAGGCATGTAATTATCTTTCTGCGTTACCCTGTTAATTGATAAGAGTGTGCACTCTGAAATTTTACTGTTAGATTTTGCATGTTTTGAATAAGTTGTGCAATTGGGTGTTGGTTCTATTAGCAGATTGCATGATGAAAAGTATTAGAAAATTTTAATTTCTGCAAACTGCTTGATTAAATTTTCTGCAGCATAGGATTATTCTTGATTCTAAAATTTTTAACTGACAATTACTCCTTCAATGCAGAAAATTCCAAAATGGTTAGGACTTCATTCAACACACCTGTGGGTCCTCCTAAGAAGAAGCAAGCTGCATCTTCTACCACTCCTAAGAAGAAGCGAGCTGCATATTCCATGACCCCAACAAGAAGATCCAGCAGAAATCTCCAAGCTGCAGCATCAAAAAGGGCCAGAACTGATGGTGTCTCAAGCTCTTCACCTATTCAGATATCTGAACCCTCACCTTCTCCCTCACCTCAGACAAGATCATCTGCACCTACATCTTCACCCTCACCTTCTCCACCACCTTCAACCAGATCACCTGCACCTGCACCCTCACCTACACCATCACCTCCACCAAGAACAGTTGTACCCTCAGGATCCTTACCACCAGCCCCACATGATCCGAGATTCAGAAGTTTGGCTCATGAAACTTTTTCAGAGCCAATATTCTAAGAAGAAAAAATGTTCCCGACAGAGCATTCCAAATAGCTGGGAACAACTATCCTGAAATTAAAGAGGAAATCCAGAAAAGAGGCTGGGAATTCTTCTGTGCAACAGCTGGCCTGAGTTGGAGGGAAATAACTCAGTAATTCTATGCCAATGCCATGAAGTTTAAAGGGAAAGGAACCCCTAAGTTCAGCTCCATGGTCAAAGGCATGAGAATTGACTTCTCACCAGCAAATATCAACAGGGTGCTGGAAATTAATTCTGCACAACATGCTGCACAGCTGGACTTCAAAACATTTAAAGAAAGTCCAGATATTGATTTTGTGCAAATTCTGGAAAGGATTGGGAAACCAGGCACCACATGGGAGCTCAACCAATCTAAGAAGCCAAAGCATATTGTCACCAAGAATCTTCTGCCCTTTGCCAAAGTATGGAGCATGTTTATTTTAAATTCGTTCATGCCTATCAAACATAGCTCCACACTAGCTGTGAAGAGGGCTGCTCTACTTTTTGCCATAGTCTCCAACATCTACATAGATGTGGGAGAGGTAATAAGTGACTGTATCTTGGGAATACTGAAGACAAAAAGGGATTCATTAGCCTTTCCTTCAGTAATTACACTACTTTGTGAAGATGCAGGAGTAGAGTTTGGTGATTATCAAGAGAAAATCAGAGCTGCACCATCCATTTCTGCAGCTCTGATCAAAGAGATTTATGCAACTGTTTCCTGCACTTCTGCAGCCCCAATCCCTTCACAATTCAAGAAAGAGAAACCAATGATGATGAAGGACACTCTGAAGCAGCTAGCTGAAGGGCAGAACCAACTTGCTGAAAGGCAGACTGAGCTGCATAATAGCCTCAAAGCTGGAGTCATGCTAATGGAATGTATTATGCTGAATATTGGTCAGAAATTAGGAATGACCAAAGAAGAAATGTATCATACTCCAGACTTAGCAGAGAATGCCCAGTGCCTTCGTTCTTCTGTTTTCAAGAATATGCCAATATACAGAACCCACTTTCCTCAGCCACCATTTGAAGAGGTAGTGGAAGAAGAAGAAGAAGAAGAAGAAGAAGAGGGTTCTGAAGAGGAAAGCTCAGAGGAAAAAGATGCAGCAGAAGATTAGTCTAGGAATTTAAATTCTGTTATTAGATTTTTGTAAATTTCTGGTAGTGTAAACTTTTTGGGTTGTAATCACTAATTGGTACACTTTGGTTTAATTCTCACTTACCTATTTTGCAATTATATTAGCTTCTTAACTAATTACCTTTATCTTGCTGCGAGTTAATGGAAATCTGGTGTTTTTGTGCAGAGAATATCACACACAACACTCACACACATTGGATGGTGACTCTTGCACAAGCTACCATGAAAGGGGGGTTTCATTCTCTACCTCTTATTCATGTGTAGCCTCACATTACACTGAATTGTTGTTGAAAAACACCAAAATACTAGAATAGATAATAAACTGCTGGCTGTGAATTCTGTGTGAAATTTTTTTTTAAGTTGTTTTTCCCATTCTCAAAATGAGATCACACTTGTATTTTCAAAAATGAGGCAATTGCCACTAGGTGCATATATTTCTGAAAAGTGCATTGTGTTTTCATTAATCCACATGATTACTTATAAATGCCTAGTGAGACTTGAGCTACCTACTTCTTTCCTTGTGTGATTAATCAGATTTTACTGCATTCTCTAGAACTTGCCCTTGTTCTTAATTGAATATGCATGTTACAGTTCTCACACACATGATAGAGGCCATGTTTGATATACTTAGTTAGCCTAAAATGCCTTCCCTTATGATTAATTGCCCTAGTTTACCCTGTTTGAGCTTAATATTCCCTTTTCTTGAGTTAACTTCCTTACACGCCTTGCTGAAAAACCAATTTTACCATTCAAATTGATCAAAGGCATTGTGAGTTTAATCAAGAATGAGGTTTAAAATTAAGTTTGGGGTAGCATCCAATTAAGTTGCTTGAGGACAAGCAAAATTTTAAGTTTGGGGTAGGGGAGTAGCAAATCTAAGTTTGAGTTCAAAAAGTCAGAACGAAAGAACAAAAGTGCTACAGAAAAATTAAAAAATTATGCAGCAAAACTGTGGAAAACATGAGTTCAAAAATAGAATCTAAGTTGAAAAGAGCAAAATGGAGATCAAAAAGAAGAAATTAAAAGTAAATTGTTGCAGAGAAAAAGAAAAAGAAATTCAACGAAAAGAAAAGAGTAAATGGAAGTAAGAGAAAAAAAAAAGGAAAATAAAAACTCTTTCTGCTGCACAAAAACGATTAGTCTGCTGCATAACTGAGGAATTTAATGTGAATTGATGCTAAACCAGACTAGTTTTAAAGTCATTCACTCAAAATGCTTCTGATCTTTTGAAATTGCAACTTGTTTCTTATTTTGTTCAGTATCTACCTTAACCTAAACCCTGTTATAAACTGTAAAAAGTCCTCTTGATGTGTGATTGGCTGTACTAAGCAGAGGAGATAGAGAAATTGGGCAAGCATATGGTAGAGTGCAGTGAAATTAATGATTTAGAGTGAAAACAGCACCCAAACACTGTTGAGTGATGAGAGAAACACTGTCCAGTGAGAAGTGATCATGATTTTAATGTTTCTCACATAAACTTGGCTGATATATTCACTTAGATAGCAATTCTGGCTTAAAA